TTATTACGGGTGGGTGCCTGGGGTGAGGGGCATGAGTGGGTGGCATCAGGGGGGCACAGCCCTGCGAGGAGGACGCTGGAATCTTACACGCAGGCAACCCCCCGGTGGCACACCAAGTATGGCAGCTGATTCTGGCAACAAAGGCCCCACACCCACACTCTCCCCCGGCAAACCTTGCCCATGCCCCCCCCCTGCCATCACTTCCGAGCCCCTGCAGTCGCCTGGTCCCCCTGCCCGACGTCTCACCGCTTGGAGGTGCGGCCGGGGTCAGCCGACCTGCGCACGCCGTCCACGACCACGCAGTCGGCCGCCGCCCAGCCGCAGTACACGGCGCTGATCATGTCCGCCGGGGTGTCCTGCCTGCAGGATCCCGAGTGAGGATGGCGAGCCATCATGTGTGTGTCGTACCTGTGGATCAACGGGACTGCGCGCAGATTGACCATGGGCAGCATCTGCCCTCCTACGCTTCCCCAGCCCGGTCCCCGCCTCACCAGGTGCCGGGGAGGGAGGCGCAGGCCACGGGGAACCCGGTCATGTTAGTGATGCTCTCACCGATGCCCGCCAGCGCGGCCTGGTCCGCAGCCGACAGGCTGCTGCAGTTGCCCATGCTGAAGTACAGGGACGGCTTCACGGGCGCATCTGCGCCTCGAAGAGGGGTGGGTGGGCGGGTGGGCGCGTGCACGGAAGGGAGAGGACCTCGGGAGGAGTCGGTAGGGTCAGGCTCTGGCGACCGCATTGGCGGGACAGCTTCCCAATCCACCCCCACAACCCACAGGCCCACAGGTGCTGGCCCCTCAACCGACGCACCATCCTCGCTGCCCTGGGCCACAAAGGCCGGCTCCATGAGCAGGGAAATGCTGGTGCCTGCCTGCGTGCCCAGCACCAGCCCAAACTGGTGCAGGCCCGACGCCAGCGCGGCCGTGGCCTCCACGAACTGGGCTTCGGTAGTGGGCGCGGAGGAGGGCAGGGAGGCACCCCCCCCGGCTGAGCTGGAGAGCGCGGCGGCAGCCACCGCGGCCGAGATGGTGTCGGGGCGGGACCACATGGACGCCATCAGCTGCGTCGCCAGCTCCTGGTCCTTGCCTATGGGAGAGGGTGTGGGGTAGGGGGGCCTTGCAGGAGGCAGCTGGCCAAGAGTGTGAGCAAGGGGGTGGTGCGCGCCCCTACATAAACACTGTGACAGTGCGTCCACAGATGGAAAGGCAATGTGCCTTATCCCCACGGTGAATCCCGGCCCCTAACCTGTGAAGAGCAGGGGCTGGACCACATTTCCACTGGCGGCCGAGCCGGCGGCGGGCGGGGCGGGGACGCTGAGTAGCGCAGGCCAGAGCGGTGGCTGCGGTACCGCGCAGTACCCGACTTGGTCTGCCGTGGAGGACAGGTAGCCGCAGTCGTTGTCGTCGTAGGCGCTGCAGTCTGCATACGGCGAGCAGGGCAGGGCAGGGCCGGCCTCATAGCATTGGTATGTGTAGGGCGGGAGGTCGGCCGAGTAGTTGGCTGCAGTGGGTTGAGAGCGCCAGTAGGGGTGAGGGCGGGTGGGCGAGGTTTGCAGAGGTCGCAGGCGGCTCAATCACATGCAGTATGCCTGAAGGAAGCTTGGGGCATAAATCGGGACAGCAACCTTGTCCCACAGCATTGAGGGGGGACGACTTTACCTGGGGTGGGGAGCCAGTCGCAGCAGGACAGGCAGCGACAGCCGCACTTGAAGGATCTTGAGTCCAGCTGCCGGTTTATCACATTTTGCAGAATCCAGAGCAGGGCGCAAATAAAGAAGGGGGCGGCGACGAGGAGGAGATTGGTGCCCCAGCGCCGTTTCTGTGTCATTGGGGTTGGGGGTCCAGGGTCGACTGGACGAACCATGCAGGCCGGGGAGTTGCCCGAGGAGCCTGGCGGGGTTGCAACCCGCCGAATCGCAGACCAAGACTGACCTGGAATGCCAGATTCTTGCGGGTGAGGGCATTGAACTGAACTCCAAAGGGGGCTCGGCGTCTGGCATGGGGACAGGGACCGAGCGTCGCGGAGGTTGGCACCGGCATGAAGTCTTCGTAAGGTCCACCGACATGCAGCCACCCACCCACCTTCGCGCCGTAGGAGTGTCTGTCATGTCGAAGTATACCCTTCGATCCCTTGGATGTCAGTACGGAGCGTCTGTCACACTCTGGAGGCTGGCATGGTCAATGCGCGCTCCTTGCCAAGACTCCCGCACATGGGGTTGCAGGCCTCGCACTCTCGATGCTGGCTGCGAGAGACCTCCGATCAATCTAGGGTACGATGTAGTTCCACAGTCCCAGGCCGGGCCCGTTCCCAGCCTTGCCCGCGCTGCGCGAGGATGTTGTCGGGTGTGCCTCGGTGGCTACGCAGGGAGCCGGCCAGAGGCGAAACCGCTCCTCATTGCGCGGACAGCGCGGCAGGCCCCTCGATGGAACACGGAACCTGCAGGCGCTCTCATAATCCTGACCATGTTCAAGCTGGATGCTTTTTTACAATGTCAGTGAGGGCTGGTCATGACACGATTACCTTCCATGGCATCCCTAGCCCAATGCTCAAGGGTATGGGCTCCTCTGTCTAGCGGGGAGAGGGGAGCGGCTGCGTGCCCTCCTCACAGGTGACCTGGACCCAAGGGGTGCATTGAGAGATCCATGAGCAGACTTCTGAGGAACGCAGCTGGGGCGTCTTGCAAGCTCAGGCACCCGCACGGCCATTCCCAGCCTCCCTCACCTGGAGTCACGCCGTCGACGAGGCGATGGCGAGCGCCTACGCGCAACGGGCTCGTAGGACGGGGAACGCCTACGCGCAACGGGCTCGTGGGATGGCGAACGCCTGCGCATCACCGGCTCATAGGAGGGCGACCTCCGGGCCCTCACCGGCTCGTACGAAGGGGAGCCGCGGCCACGGGCAGGCTCGTAGACCGGGGAGCCCCGGCGGCGCAAGGGACTGGGGGACCGTCGGCCGCGAGGAGGGCTGTTGGGAGGAAGAAGAACAGATCAGAGTCTTTTAAAGATATATATATGCAGGCCGGGCCTTATAGATGACCCTGGTAGCAACATCCCTTGGAATCCGACAGCTTTTGTATGCACTGCGGCTTCCATTCAAAGCATCCTGCCAGTGGTGCACCCCACGCCAGATTGATTCCCAACGTGGCTCCCAGTAATGATAAGAGCTCCCAGATTGGGAAGAGCCTTACTACACGCACCTCAGATCCCTGCCGTAGAGCCTGCCGCCGCCGCCAAAGCCCCCTCGTCGGGCGGGGCCGTCGCCGCGCGGCCCCCTGCTCAGCTCCACACGCCATCCCTGGAAGCCGTCCAGCTTCCGAATTGCATCGTCGGCATCCCGTGCGTCCTCAAACTCCACAAAGGCTGCAGGAGCAGGCGTGTGGAAGGAGGGTGACCGCGCATGACCCCGACACAGGGCCGGAGGGGTTCACCAGCAAGAGTGTCGCCCTGCCTCTCAGACGAGCAGCGCCGGCAACCGGCATGCAGTGCGCTCAACCTCGTGGCATGGAGCTCGTGGAGGGACGGTGGAAGGCGGGCGTGGTGCCGAAGAGGAGCGCGGGAGCGAAGGACGACGATGCGGGAGGCCAAGCTGACGAGGCAGTCCACCAGCGCCGTTCGTACCCACACCTCACCCAATGCCTCCATGCTCACCAAATCCAGAGGGCCTGCGGGCCACCCAGACCTTACGCAGCACCCCAAACCGGCTAAACTCGTCCTCGACGTCCCGCTCCGGGATACCCTCGGGAAGGTTGCCTGCGTCGGACACACAAACGCGTTCTCACTTTGAGGGTGAGTCCAATACATTGAATCATGGGCAGGAAGCATCCCCTGCGCTGCGGGAGCACGCCCGCCCACCCTCGTACGCACCGATCCAGACTTTGGCCATGGCAGAAAGGAATCTTGAGCGGGCTAGGCAGTAGAGGCGAGGTTGCAGATAATTTCTGTAGAGGACTCTCGACGCTCTGTGTGTGCGGGAATGGAGCGGCTTTTTAAAGCTGAGTGCTCGTGGTTGTCGGCCTTGGCCGCGGATCCACGCGCGATACAGATCACAGCATCAGTGCCATGGCACGACCCAGATCACTTCCATAATTCGAAGGATTGTAAAGTCATTGGGCAGGCCGAAACAAAACTGCCAGTGGTGCTAGATATGCGCTCCACATCCTTGTGCAGCATCGCGCGAAGCGTGCTTCTCACTCGTCCTTCTGTCGTTTGCACCGGCTCTCGTAGAATGCCAGGGCGACAGACCTGTTGGGTGCATGCCACCGCCGCATCGCCATCTGGTCAAGAAGTGTACTCGAACTTTGACCAGCGCCTGCGAGCCGAGGAGCATGTGCTGACCTCTAGCACTGCCAGCCACACGGCCCTGCACCTGGTCACGGAGGGCACCTATGAGCACTGGCTGAGGGAGCAGCCCGAGAGCCGTCGAGCCTGGCTGAGAGGCATCGGATTTGACCCCAAAGACCGCAAGATGGCCCACCTCCCATCCCTGGTGGGGCACAGCAAGGGCAGGGACTGCTACCAGTGGGGCGGCGCATGACGACAACTCGTCGACCCCATGCGGTGGTGCATCCTGATCCTCCCCTCTCCCAACACCAGCATGCCAGCTGTCACTCCAACCCATCCCACCCCCAGACACCCGACTCCGACCGGCACGAGGCCCTGGTGGCCATAGAAAGCATGGAAGGCCCCTGGGCGGTCGCCGGGCTCCCCAGCACCCTGCCGCCAGGGTCGTACGCGCTGCGGCCCGGCCCGGGCCGCCAGGCGCCGGACTGGCAGGCGACGGCCTCGCTGGCCTGGGCCCTGGAGCGCTACTCCTTCCTTCGGTACAAGGACGAGGCGGCCAGAAAGGCGGCCACAGCGCCTCGGCGGCTCGTGGTGCCCCCCTCCCCCGCCCAGGAGGAGGCTGGTCTCCTGGCGGCGGCCATCTACCTGGTCCGGGACCTCATCAACACCCCTGCCGAGGACCTCAGTGAGTGCAGACTTGCCCAGCGCGGAGGGTTGGAGTCGTTGCTGAGTGGAGCTCTGAGCGCCTGGGTGTGGTTCCGTCAGCATGCTGTCCGCCCTGTGAGCGACGCAGGTCTTCAGATCGGACGGTCTGGCTGGCTGGGTGCGGGGTGCTCCGCTCGCTGGGGCGGCATGCCCTCCCCGTCTGACTCACCAAACCTCCTCCCCTGCCCCTCCCCTCCTGACCTCCGCAGCTCCAGCGCACCTCGCAGCCGAGGCGGAGGCCCTGGCGGCCGAACACCCCGGCGCGTCCCTCAGCGTGGTCAGCGGGGACGCCCTGCTGCACGCCGATTCCTTCTTTCCCATGGTGCACGCAGTCGGCCGGGCCGCAGCCTGCCCCCCACACCTCCTGGACCTCAGGTACGGGATGAAGGGGGGGGGGGGCCCAGGCTTTTCCTACCTTGCTCTTCCCAGCGCGGCCAGGCCGCGCTGCAGGCCTGCCTCACTCGCCGCTCATCCCCTTGCATACCACCCCTACCAGGTGGCAGCCTGCGCCCCAGAGCGCCTCCCTCCCCCTGCTCGTGCTGGTGGGCAAGGGCGTGACGTTCGACTCCGGTGGCCTCAACATCAAGCCCGCCGCCGGCATGCGGCTGATGAAGAAGGACATGGGCGGCGCAGCGCTCGTCCTGGGCCTGGCCCACGTCATCATGCAGGTGGGGATCAGGTGGAAAGGAGGAATCCCTGGGGGAGTCTGGTTGCACGTGGAAGGCGACCCCCCCCCTCCCACATCCACAAACGCGTGCTGCGCACGCTCACACAGCCCCGCCCTCACCTGGCAGGCCCAGCTCCCAGTGCGCCTGCGCGTGCTCGTCCCCGCGGTGGAGAATGCGGTGGGCCCCGCCAGCTTCCGGCCAGGGGACGTGCTGCGCTCGCGCGCTGGGCGCAGCGTGGAGGTGGGCAATACCGACGCGGAGGGGCGGCTGATCCTGGCCGACGCGCTGGCCGCCGCGGGGGAGGGGGCGGCGGGCGGCGCCGGCGCCGCCCCGGATCTGGTGCTGGACGCGGCGACGCTCACCGGCGCGGCGCGCGTGGCCCTGGGCGCGGAGCTCCCCGCCCTCTTCACCGACGACGAGGCCGCGGCGGCGGGGCTGGCTGCCGCCGCGGCAGCGACGGGGGACCCGCTCTGGCGCCTGCCGCTGCACGTGCCCTACGCCCACGCGCTGCGCTCGCCGGTGGCGGACCTGCTGTCCTGCCCCGAGGGCGGTGGCCTGGGCGGCGCCATCACCGCCGCGCTGTTCCTGAAAGAGTTTGCGCCGGCGGAGTCCCCCTGGGTGCACTTGGACACCATGGGCTGGAACCTGAAGCCGCGGCCGGGGCGGCCCGAGGGCGGGGAGGCGCTGGCCTTGCGCGCGATCTGGGCCTTCCTCAAGGCGCGGTATGGCGGCGCGGACGGCGGCCGCGGCGCCGAGGGCGGGCGATGAGGGCCCTCGCAGTTGTAGAGAGGGAAAGGGGGGGCGGCTTTGGCGCCATGTGCGGCGAGGGATCCACCCCTTGGGTACTGAAGTCTGCTCACCAGCCCGCCTCTGGCTGGTTCACCCCTGGACCCTTCCATCCCACTTCTGGTTTGCTTAACTCCCCCCCCAAAAAAACAAACACACACACTCTCTTCTGATTCTGACTCGCGTCAGGACAACAGTGATGTACAAGGAACCCACAAAACCATAACCCACACCATCATGCCCGCCCCGCCCGAGTCTGAAGGCGGATGGTCAGGTGGAAGGTGGGCTTGAGGATGCGGTCGGCCCTGCCCTGCGCTCGCGGCATTGCTCGCTTCATGGACGGTCCGCCGTCCGCAAAGGCCTCGTGCACGAACAGCGCCGCCTTCTTGGCGCCCAGGTTGTGCTTGGCGTTGGCGGCGGCGGACAGGAGGGTGGCCAGGATGGGCTCGCAGGCGCGGTACGGCATGTACTCCAGGATCATGATGGCCTCCTCGTAGCTGCGCCCACGAATCTGGTCCAGCACGCGCCGCACCTGGTGAGCAGGGGTGGCACAAGGGGGGCCATGAACCAAGGCTGGGGAGCGTGGCGGTGCAGCACTCCATCCACCCCAGGCACTGGGGAACCTCGACGAGGGAGCTGAGGCTGCTGTGCAGATGCGCCGTCACCAGCGCACCCACCTTGAGGGGGGAGCCACGCACGAAGCGCAGGTGGGCCTCGCCCTTGAGTGCAGGCTCCTTGGCCGCGGTGCCCGCGGGGGGGGGGCTGCCTGTCGCAAGCGCATCGGGGGAGGAGGAGGCCGCCACTCGCGTGAGGGGACGGGCCAGCCGCTGAGCGCTCTGCTGCTGCTGCTGCATCTGTGGCAGGGGTTGGGCAGGGGGGCGGGGTGGGTAGCGGTCGCGCAACATGCGGTCATCACCTGTGCCAGAGCAAGTCAACACGATGAGAGAAACCTCCGCTCGGAAAGTGCTGGGCCGCACCAGGGGCATGGCCCTCGCTGCTGTCGGGGTGAAGGGCCGGAAGGCAGTGGCCAGGCGGGGCAGCCTGCAGGCTGCCGGGACCCCCACGGGGCTAACAGACCCCAGCGTCGCCATGATTGATCAGAATGATTATTTACCCTATCAGAGTGTCCTCCTGGCCCTCTGACGAGTGCCACACGAGGCAGAGAAGGTTCGACCTGATGGCTCCTATCCTTTCGCCGCACGGCCAGGAAAGGATGCCGTGGTGCGAGTCCCCTGCCACCCCCAACATCGCCCATGGCCCCCATCGCCCATCTCTCCACCCACGGGCCGCATCGGCTGAGACGTGCCATCAAGTTAAGACTCAATCACTGAAACCAGAGTCCCCAAGTGCTTGCTCTTCTGAGGCTGGAGTCCCGGACTGGAGTGAAGCGCGCTTGGGCTGGTGACGGGCCATCCATCTGAGTCTCCACCGAGGAGACTGCTGTGAGCCCCGCGGCCACACCGCGTCCATGGTCGGTGCCATGGCTGCACACTTGAGCACGGCGGCCGGTTGTACCAGGCATGGTGCTGGTCGTCTGGCTCCCAGGGCCATGCCCAGACCCTTCACCCCTTCCCTCAGCCCCTGTACCCCGTGAGTCGCTGTTTTCTACACACACCATTCTATCAATCATGATTTCAGGCTCAGTGTGAGTCTCCTATCGCCATTGCATGTGTGTCTGATGCTGCCTGCATCACCGCGCTGCTGGCAGAACCCTCAAGACCATCTCCCTCCCACCCTGCCATCCTTCCTATTGCAGGCCCCTCGGCGCTGGCCTGATTGCCCAGTCCCGCAGGGTGCAAGACCCCATCATCCCGCCCTACATCCAGCTCAGCCCTCAGCAGGGCGATGCGATAGACCTGTATGGCTACATGCTCCAGAACCGCATCATCATGGTCGGCAAGCGCGTCAACGACGCCGTGGCCACCCAGGCAAGGGGAATCGTGTTGATAAAGTTGCTTGGAGTTGTCAGGGATCTGATGTGGCCCGTGCTTCGTGCATCTCTGGACTGTACTTATCGTGCCATCCAGGCAGTGTCGGGCTCTTCACTCTCCCCTCCCCTCCTCCTCATCGATCCCTCCATGCTCCACAGCCCCAACCCACCCCTCCTCTCCCCAGGTGGTGGCATCCCTGCTGGCGCTGGACTCCATCAACCCCAACGAGGAGATCCGGCTCTACATCAACGCTGGCGCGGGCTCCCCCTACGCCATCACCGGCATCCTGGACACCATCCGGGCCATGCAGGCCCCCGTCTCCACCATCGGGGTGGGCATGGTGGGTGGGGCGGTGGCGGTGCTGCTGGCAGGCGGCGCCAAGGGGCGGCGCTTCATCATGGCGAATTCACGGGTGATGCTGCAGCAGCCCAATGGGGGCGCCATGGGGTCCGCAGATGAGGTCAATATCCAAGCCACGGAGCTCAACCGCACCATGCAGCTCATGTACACGTGCGTGTGGAGCCCGGGACGGTGGTCACGGACAGCGACTGCTCCTGTGTCAGCTTCTGGTCAATCCTGCTGGGTTGGGAGGCGGATGACTCGCTCAGATGTGCTCCCTAGCGTTCCCTCGAATCCCTACCACCTGCAATGCCCCACCCACAGCTTCCTGGCTGAGTACACTGGACTGCCCATGGACAAGGTGGAGGAGGAGTGCGACAGGGAGCATTTCCTGGGAGCAGAGGAGAGCAAGGAGCTTGGCATCGTGGATGGCATCATAGGGACCCCTCCGGCCTTCATGCCCCGCAACGGGCTCCTGCAGTTCGCAAGGGGCAACTTTTGAGGGCGCACGTGTGAATGTAATGCGCTGTTAAACAAGGCGGTGTAATGAGATCGGGGTCTGCCCCATTTCTTCGAGTATGAGGATCGTCTTGGACTGTGTCGGGGTCGTGCCGACGGGGTAAGGGTGGCCAATCTTTCGGCCTAGCTACCAGCACTCGTTTAACACCGTACGAGTTCCACCGGGTCAAACGAATCTCCAAAAACTTGTGGCTCAGAATCCGGTGAGGAGCCACACTTTGATCACGTTGCTCCATTTCCCGCGCAAACACGGGACGATCCTGGACCCGACGAGCAGGTGAGCGTCGGCTTCAACTGACTTCCTGCGACACAAGCGTCAGACAGACCCGCCCAGGGTTACATCGAGTCTCCTGAAAGATCTAGGTCTGTGCGCCGTAGGCGATTGTACCTCGCGATATAGGCAGCTCCGTCCTCCATGCTGACACCTCATTAAAGCCCTTGCAACCTCCACCGCAAACGTATTTGGGCACTTGTCACTTCTAGCGACCCGTTTGCGTTTGCTCAGACTTCCGGGTAGACGGGTTTTGGCCGCCGACATCCCTTGCCTCTCATAGATTTCCTGCCGACACTGGCCTGTTCCGAGAGGCATTGGAGCCCCTCCTTGGCGTGTTGGAAGCATTTGCACACCTCTCTACCCCCCATCAGCGAAATCCAGCCGGAGATGAGCTTCGAGGTGAGGGAGGCTGCCGATCGGCCGGTGTCGGGCGAGCAGGACGTCGGTGGGCCCCCATGCTGGGACACGTGGAGAGCACCTCCCCCCGAACCCTTGTGCAACGCGCCTGCATATGAGCGCATGGCTGCAGGGTAACGGTTTAGTGGGTCCCGCCTCAGTATAATGATTGTACTCCTGTGCACTGCCGTCCGCAGGTCGATCTGATTACTGCGCTGCCCACTATGGATCCGGGCGTATGGCACTGCGGCGAACTATGTTCCGGCCTGTCGTCTCCCAGCTCGGCTGTGCAGCGATCCGAGTACAGCTTCGACAGCCTGGGCACCCCCTCCCTTCAGGTAGGCAGGGCTTCGCGTGGAAATGGGTTTTTTGTGGAGGATTGCCATATGTTCCGCAGACAGGATCCCAGACTCTCAGCAGCGATGGGCCAGGCTCCCTATGAGGATGTACCATTGCGACTCAAGCCATGTACCCCCCTGACCCCCCTTTCAGGCGGAGATGCACTGTGTGGAGCCCTGTGCACCTGCCTTGAACATGCTCCTCATCCATGACCACCCCGGCCCTCATTCCGGGAAGGAGGAGGAGGAGGCCAATCCCAATGCCAAACGAGCCAAGGTCAGCAGGCATAGGAGGCCTGATGAAGGGCAAAAAATGTCGGGTTTGGCCTCCTTGTGGCTGTCTCTTCTTCCTGGGAACCAGGGGTAATCGATGATGCTGCAGCTTTGTGTTCAGTGCGCAGAGGACCCCACCTTCAGAGCGCAATCTCTTTCCAACAGCCGCACTGGAGGTCACAGATTGTGCACCTGTTCAAGCAGTCGCTCGCTGATCCTTGTGCCTGTGGCGCCCCTCTTCTCAAGTAACGCATGAACCCCATGCATACCTCCCCTCGACCGCCCACAGGTGGAGTGGACGCGGGAACTCCACATGGTGTTTGCCGGGGTCGTTAGGTCCCTGCCCGTGGACCAGCAAGTCCCCACCAAGATCCTGGAGGGCATGGGCCAGTGGGGCTGGGGCCTTACGCGGGCCAACATTGCCAGCCACCTGCAGAAGTTCAGGCACAGGCAAGGACGAGTGCCTGGCAAGTGGGGGAGGGAGTGCCCGTGCGCGAGCAGCAGGTCGTGCTCGGGGAAGAGGGATGAGTGCGAAGTATCTTCAACGCTTCGCAGTGCTGCCGAAGGAAGGACGGTTCCTTTCTGATCAAGCTCGTGCCTCTTACCCCCAGCCTTGAACTCACCAAACCTTCCTCCTCCTGACCCCCGTACTCTCAGGGAGCGCGAGTGCGGCGCACTGGTGAGCTCCTGCTCCACCCCGCACCTGGATGCAGAGGGCTGGGCATACCACGACGCCGGCAGCGCCGGCACATCCCCCTACATGATGATGCCCACCACCCCCCCCAGCATGGCCCCCAGCCTGGCCTTCCAGTCCGAGGGCTCGCTGACCGACATGGAGTGGGAGCTGGGGCAGACGGGCGATGCCTGCCCCCCCTCCCTCTCGCGCCAGCTGGCGCAGTGCGTGCAGGAGCGCCCCGCCGCCCTGCCCATCGGTTTGACCCTGGACCACGGCGCCGTGCTACGCGCGTTGCGCCGCAGGGGCAGCCTGGTGGCCTGACGGCGCCTTGGAGGAGCCCCTCTGGCGATCCTGGGGTCGGCGCCGGACAAGCGCGCTGCGCTTCCTGGAGACCGCCGTCCCCCACCCCCTCTCTTTCCATTCTTTGCTCGTCACAGCTAATCGTCCCACAATTTTTGGCCAGGACAGGCCGTCGGCCGACCGCCGTGGGCCAGCCGCCCGCCGCGCCACAATTCTCGCTGCACGGAGGGCAGGGCGTCAGTCCAGCTGCACACGCAAGCCGGAGTTTTATGTCCCTGCTCCCACTCACTTTTGTGCAGTCCACCTGGGTGCACTGCTGAATGGACTGGTATTATGCCGTCACCCAATTTTTCCAGCATTCCGAGCTCTTAATCCTCCTGGGCTGCCAGGCGATATTAGTTTTTGTGTGACCCTGTCACGCTTCAATTCTTTGCTGCCAACTGTTCCGAGAAGAGCGAAATTACCCATCTTGCGTGAGGTGATCCACTGTCCTGCTGCATTGCGTTGCTCCCCCCTTCCCACAATGTCGCACAGACTTGAGGCCCCTTTCCAGGGGATGATATTGTATCCTCAGCGTTGAATGGTTCCTATTACCTCGTTGCTCAAACGGCCTTGACTGCCCCATGGTCATAGACCCATCTGTTTATGCTCCATGAGGAATCCCATCAGGAGGTCAAGCGACCCACGGTGGCATTGAATGTAAGACGCACGGAAGGACATCCTTCACACTGTTTGAACCGCAGTGGCAAAGGCTTTGAGGGTAAGAACAGGATGCTGCACCGCATTCACCCCTTGCACCATCTGCCGAGCTCCTTCATTGATTGATTCCAGCATGACATTGGGGCCCCTAGCATCCCCCCAACACTGATGACACCCGATGATTTCATGACTGGCATTTTTTGGAGTATACATGCAAGGAGAAGGGTTTTCTGTGCAGAAACTTGGGAGAGCAGCGAGCGGGAGCAGATGCAAGGGGGTTGCAAAGAATTACTGGATCAACTCAGCGACTTGGAAGTCAGGGAGGTGTACTTACAGGGGCGCAAATGAGGGCGAGGATGCGAAGCTGAGCCCCCGCTTGCGGGGCTGCCACTTGCTGAAGTGCTGCATGCAGGTTCGCCACCCGCGCCAGCCCCTCAGTACTGGCGGTTGCGCCGCATCTCATCCAGCTCAAAGTCGATGGCATCCCGCACAGGCCGGCCAGGAGGGAGCTGCTGTGGGGGTGACGATGTGATCTTAGTGGAGGTGGGGTTTGTGGTGATGAACACGTGGTAAGCACCTTGATTGAAGTACACTCCCACTCCAGTCCCCCCAGCCCAGTTTCTGTAGCCACCATAGCCTCTGGCTGCGATTCCTCCCTCAGCTGACGCTCTGAATGCAGGCAGCTGCCCAGCTCACCTGCTGCTTGGGCTTGCTGGTGCCCAGGCTGCGCCGCAGCTCTGACAGGTCATCCTCCACATTCCCAGCCTCCAGCTGCTGGAACTTGGACTCCAGCCCATCGTCAGGGGACGCCAGCTGCGTACATTGGTGTGATATGAGGGTGGTAATTCAGATGTGGAACAAAGGCACCAACTCAGGCCACCTGACTGCATCCGCCCAGAGTGGTAGCAGGAGCTGAATCACACACATACATACATACGTACAGCTTAACCTTCAACACCCCCAGCACCGCTACAAAACCGCCGCAGCCAGCATGCCAGTGAGCGATCCCATCAGCGCCCTCAAATGAAGGACCAGTGGTAAAGGGGCCCCTTGGGCATGCCTTGTCAGGTCATCACGCCTTCGCACTTCTCATCCAGACCAAACAACGCTTTCCCTGCCCCGGCTCCCCCCCCAACCCTCCCAACCACAGCTCACCATGGTGGCCGCCTCGGCCTCGGACTCCATGGCCATCACCTTCTCCTCCATCTTCTCGAATGCACCGAGGGCGCTGCTGGTATTCAGCCCCGCCACCTGCAATTGCGAGAGGATATTGGAGGTGGGGAAACAGAGTGAGGAGGCGGCACACGTATGTGCAGGTGCTGCGGAAGCCACATGTCACCCATCCACCCTGCCATACTAAGGTATCCCACAAACACACACACACACACACACGATGACTCGCCATGGCCCCATTCCTTCCCTTGCCCCACCATGTCCTGGATCTGGCGAGCGGACTTGGCGCTCTGCGCCCGCGCCTTCAGCGTGTCCTTCTTCAGCTTAGCCTCCTGCAGCTTTCCTTCCAGCATCTTCATGTTGCCCATGATGGTGCTCACCGCCTTGGTCTGCTGCGCCAGCTGGCCCTCCAGCTGGGTGGCCGTGGCCGCGTGGGCCTTGCGCCGCGTCAGCGCCTCTCGCGCCAGCTCCTCGTCGCCCTTGCTCAGCGCCAGCTCTGCGCGGCGGTACCACTCGTCCGCGGTCTGAGCCGCCATGTCCCGCTTGTTCTGCAGCCGCTTCTGCGCGGCCGTCACCTCCGCGGCCGCCTGGCGCAGCCGAATGAGGTCGTTCTGCATGTCGGAGACCGCCTGCTCCAGGATCTTCTCGGGGTCCTCCAGCCCGCCCACTGCGCGGGAAGAGGTGAAGGGGAGGGGTGCGGCGGTGGAGTGGGCAATCGATTGGAACAGGGCCCTCCCTCAGTACCCCATGCACACAGAGCTGCAGATCGCACCCAACTAACCTAGGGCGCTGGTGTAGGACTTGACGATGCGAACCACCCTGCCGAAGAGGTTGGCCTGTACAGCGACCGGGGAAGCCCGCGGGGCCCGAGCATGCTGGAGAGGGGGCAGCCGAGTGCCTGCTGGTGGAGGGGAAGGGGGAGAGAGGGTGCATGACAGGCCATGCGGGTGTTGCCACAGCCACGGATCCAGTGCGAGATGCCCCCATCTCAGTGCATGATCCCATTTCCTTGCCTGCAAAGTTTCTGTGGAGGCTCAGCCTGGTCCCCTTTCCATGCGGAGCCAGGCTCGCACGAGGCTGGAAGACATGGCAACGAGCGCTCATTCTGTGTTGTATGTCGTTCGAGCCTTACCAGGAGCCTGCAGCACTCTGTGGGGCACAATGATGGTCACTCGGCATTCCCTGCATGCACATGATGAACACGCGTGGGCTGGCGTCCCAGGACCTTCCGCGATCCAGAAGGCGATTTCCTGCCTTTCCTGCCTTCCCCACTGATTGCTCGCCACCGCAGACCCAGCCCTGCGTTTCAAACGCATACGAAACAGAGAGTGGAACAAAGGGGCGCGACTCCCCTGCCATGCTACCCATTTTATTCTCGATTGCTGTCCATGTAAGGGAGGGCAGGCATGCAGGAGGAGGGGGCGCTGTGCCGGGTCTGCTGGCAGGGCCATATGGAGCTCCAGGAAGGCATGCTGGTGTGCGACGTCTGCGGCTCTGTCGACCAGGTGATTGAGTGTATTTGGTGCGAAAGATTGTCATGGCATCGATTATCACTGACAGAAGGAGAGGTGCTCCGAGGTCAATCGGATTGTGATATAATTCAAGCTTTTTTAACGCCACAGGGCTTCACTCAACTGACGGAGGAGTTCGAGGGGGGACCCTCGCAACGGACCACCCAGAGGTAGAAGGGTTTCAAGACTGATGTCTGACCATGCACATCAGGATGGCAGCAATGTGGGTTGAAAGAGGCCCAGGATACGACAGTATCCCTCCCGCTCTGTCGCAGGGGTCTCAAGAAGACCAGAGAGTCGGGGGCTGTGCAGGAAAGAACGGCGTTGCCCGTGAAGGAGTCTCTGCGAGCCTATGTGGAAATCCTCCAGCACCTGCTGCAGGTGCTGGGGTCCTGGCAAGAGCGTTAGGGGGTGGGAGCCGAGCGTGTGGCTGATCAGCCAGTTGTTTGCGACAGTTTAACAGCCATCGCTTGGATTGTGTAACAGGCAGGCCTGAGCCTCTCCAACACCCTAATCCCACCCTTCTGGCTGCAAACTGCCGCGCAGCGACAAGCCAAGGTCCTGGTGGAGGAGCTCGGCTGTGACCCCGGCGTCATGCCCCTGCTGCGGTCCCTGTGGTACCGCTGCCTGAACCACTCCCGCCTGCTCCACCCCGAATTCTGCCAGTGGGTACAGGGAGAGCGTGGGGGCATCGAGTCCATTGGGGCCATGCTTCTTTGAGGACGACCCAGCTGCCTTTTGGGCCCCTGCTCAAGTCCGACATGGCCCGGGCCATTGCATCGCTTGAATTCACTCGTGTGTTCATCCCTTTCCCCCCTTTGACCCTGCTCTTACTCAACCATCAGGGACCTGACACAGCGAGTGCACGAGCTGGATGCCAAGGAGAGGGCAGGCGGCATCCATGGCAGGAATCTGCATGGCCCCGCCTGGCTCTTCATGACCACGCTGTCACGGGTGTGGCAATGGTCGTGTGGGTGTGCATACTCATTGTTTCTGCTCCCAGGGCTTGTCGTCGAGGAGAGCTCCAGACGTGCAGGTGCCTGGCACCGCGCCAGGCCTGAAACTCACTCCAGCCTCGCCCCTGTCGCACATGACGGCACCGACGCCTCCCTTCCATCCCGGCCCCCCCCGCAGGTCCTGGCGCCACACGTGACCCTCGAACTCTGCTTCCTGGCCGCTTGGACCGCCAGGGCGGCGGTCAGCCCGCACGACATCACGCGCAGCGCGGCCAGCGGGCGCCTCCCATTCCTCACCCTGGCGGCGGACTCCGAGGAGTTCATGGCCCCCTACCGCGCCCTCATCAGCCGCCTCTACCTGGCCCGCGCAGGTGGGCGGCCCTGAGGGTGCAGTCTCTGAACACAGGAGGGAGGGTTTCCCGTCCTGGCACTGGACCATGGCGCGTCATTTGCCAGGGAAGCTGGTGCGCTGGCTTGGGGTACGCACCCATCTCCCGTCACCACCGGGGCCTTTGGAGCGCCGATGGCATCCCGCCCACCCCACCCGCCCGACACAGGGGCCCCCAACGCGGCGACGCTGATGCATGGCGCCCTGCGCCTGGCGGCCGCGCTGCGCCTGCCCCTTCCCCCCCTGAACGCCGGCCTGTGGCTGTGCCGATGGAGGCACGAGCTGGGCCTGCCGCACGGCGTCGCGGAAGCCAGCGAGCAGCTGGCCCGCCTGCACTGCCCGCCGGGGTCGCGTGCGATGCACCTGCGGCCCCACGCGCCCCAGCACCCCTGGGCCATGCTCATGGCCTGCGTGCTGTGCACGCTGCGCTTCGTCTACGGCCTGGACGGGCACGGCCGGCGGGGCGAGACGTGGCGCGGGGACAAACGTGGCGCGGCCCCGCCGGAAGGGGGCTGGGTGCGCTGGGCGGCGGCCGCACTGACTCGGCGCTGCGGCGCCACCGTCGGCCCGACCAATGTGGCCGAGGTGTGCTGGCTTGAAGGAAAGGGTGCCAAGTCTGGGGGGACATGGGTGTCCCCATGAGCATGTGGGGCTGGCAGGAGCGGCGAATCGGTGCCCTGTCTGCGAAGGGCTGCGCCAGTGTGCCTATCCCTCCGGATCGGCGCAGGGTGCTTGTTTGCGCCACACCCTTTCCCCCACCCCCATACCAGGGCCTGGCCATGCCGCGAGAGGACCTGGCGGAGTGGCTGGCCTTCCTGCGGAGCAAGCATTTTGTCGGCCACTCGTGCCCGGAGGACCTGGCGGAGGCCTGCGCCCTGCTCGAGCGGGCGGGGAGGGCCTTCCTCGGCGCGGCGCTCGATGTGGACGCGACGAGCGGGGCAGCGGCAGCAAGGAGGCCCGACGGCGGTGATGATGACGAGGCCGGGGCCGGCCGGCGCCTTCAGGCCCCCGCACCGGGCTGGCCGGCGACCCCGGCACCCCAACCCCCGGCACCCATCAGCACCAACACCTCTCCGCGCCCGGCGCCCGGCGGTCCAGGGGCCACACCGCCCGACCCCACCCCCCTTGCCGACGGCACGTACACATGGATCGGCAAGCTGGGTCCGCATGGCTGGGTGGCATTGCCCTCCGACTATGCGGCTGTGCTGGCTGCGTGCGCCGCCCACGTCTGGTGCACGCCCCTGACCATGCACCGGGTGAGGAAAGGGCGGCACAGTGTGCGAGGCGTCGAGGAACGGAGGACCCGCACTGGGGTGCGGGTGTGGATCTCGCAAAGAGCAGGCGACAGGCCACCTCTTGGACCGGGGCTGTTGGAACACTGGGTGCCTGCGCCGACTTCCTCATCATGCCAACACCACCCCTCTCGCCCCCCTCCAGATGGTGCTGGAGGTGGATTGGGCGATGGTGAGGACGGAGGTGAAGGTGGCGTATGAGGCAGACGCTATGGAGCCCCTCAAGCTGGAGCGGATCCGGGAGGAGGGCAGACAGCTCCAAGAAATGCGAAAAGAATTCCGTGATGCCCTGGCCCGCATGGGCCTGACGGAGGAGACGGTCAGGATGCATGCGGCATGATGCTGGGTCCCCACTGCGCCACCCCGGCCAGGCCTGGTGCGAGGGGTCACGGGATTCTCTCGAATTCAGAAGCGCTGCACCAGAAGCCTGCAAAGGCGCCTGAGCATTATGCACAGACCTGTGCGGCAGTGCAGTGCCAGAGTGGAGGCACTCAGAGCCCAAGCCAGCGCACCCCTGGCGCAATGTATGCCGGGCAAAGGCACCGTGTCTTCCACCAAGGTACCTCGCTTGTTGCGGCGGTGGGGTGTGCCATCGCATGGTCCAGAGCCACAGCCGCTGTGGGTGCATGCGCCGTCACGGCATCATTCCTCCACCCGCTTCTCAGGCATGGCTTCGCAGCTTCCAAGACCTACCACATGCCCGGTTGGTCGTGTCGTGCACCCGCAGGATCCTGTCCTACTCGGGTTTCCAAGGACTGCACCACGCTTGACCTTTGCTGAATTTCGCAGCTCTACATGTCACTGTGTGCTGCATCACCTCAGCCTGTACACTGTCCTCGTCAGTCTTTCCTCGTATCTGTTGAGCAACCTTTCAAAAGCATCGAACTCAGAGCATGCTACGGCATGCGACTCGCAAGCAACAGGACTGGAAGATATTTGCGACGCTCTCCCTTGTGAACTATTCATCAGGGACAGGGGCAAAGGATCCACATGGAAAGTGCAGACTCAGAAGAACACAAGGGTGCTGTTCCTGGGCAAGGGTCTCTCCGTCACATGTGAACTGCGATCACCTTTGAGCTAGGCCGCAGCTGCCTTGGTCTCCACCCCCGACTTCTCAACCCACCAGTCCACAAACTCCCCGAACTGGATGCGACCGTCCTTGTTGGTGTCAAGCAGGTCCAGGGCCGCCTTGACCTCCTCTTGGGACAGGGTGCTGCCGTACCGGGAGCTGCAGGCAAGGGCAGAGGGGGGGGCAGAAGGCCATGTAGAGCTCTGATGATATCCTGTAGGCTTTTTTCAGACCCCAAAGCACCCAAGCCCCTGGCGCCAGGCGGCAGCCGCGATTCCTCATTGAAAGACACATGTTCTACAAGCCACCCGCGCATCTGGGCGCCGCAAGCGACTGCCGAGAGTGAGCCCGCGCCAGCTTGCGTCCCCCCCCCCTCCCCCCCGCCCC